GAAGAGGGCCAAGCAGACGAGGAACTGTGAAGTGTCCGAAGGATATATTAATTTCAAATGAAATTTGCTAATATTTTCAAAATTTGCCCTAGTTTCTTAAATTTCAAATATAATTTTTGAGTTTGTCAATACTTACTTTCATTTTGATTGATTTGTTGAAGATTGTTCTTTGCAATGGAGCGTAATGAACTGATGTCAATTCAATAAATTTTCGAGGCTTTTATACCAAAAAGAAGTATACAAAGAGTAACTGGGCCATAACCCGCAGCATAGAATTTGTGTGTCATTGTTGTGCGTGGACAGTCTGTCATAGGTACATATGACAGCACACATTGTTGGTAGCGCAATTAACGTCTTTACGCCGCATTACCATGTATTGTGGGCAATTGTTTGAAACAAATAAACGAGTTTTTATTTTCTTGTTTTCTTTGTTGTAAGCATATTTAATAAGCTTATATTGTGCACTGAGTTCCTATTCTTGAACTTGAAGGTATTGATTTTTTTCTCTGGACACCCTAGAATAGGAACTACAATATTTGGTATAAACACAACACCATTGAATTGTTGTTACTGTTGTTCATTCACACTTGCGCCATGAATGGAAATTGTTTAATGGGGGCATTAAACATAATGGCGTTATTGAAATTACATCAATCAAAGCTTTGGGCAAATTGTATGCCATTAAAGTTCATAGGGCTAAATATTATTTTTAATGTAAAATGAATTAAATCGTGGGAATTTCCTGACAAGTTTTAAAGGCGTAGTTTGAAAACCTAAGAATGTTTTGAAATTTTTGAACTTTTCTTAATTATTTTTTTTATACCACGGTAATCAGTAAAATTTTGACATGTTATGACCCTTTACTACATTATTGAAAAGGTCCACCAAAGTCCAAAAAAAAAATGTAGTAAGCGATTTCAACATTAAAACCAGTACGGAAAGCTCAAAAGTCGGGCGGGTCCTACTATATGATACCCTACACCACTATGCATATTAAGTAGAGCTCTCGTAAAAAGGTTTATACAGGCCATTTCAGAGCTCTATGAGATATTTGGTACAAAATCAAAATCTATCTAATTCTATCGTGCATTTTACGAACTATACCTATCTCTGAACCGGGTTTCTCCAAATTTGACGTATTAGCTTCTAATTTCGGTTATGTATGAAAATGCAGGTGATTTGGGCTGATATTGACCATTTAGTGCACATTTAACCCGAAATCGGATGAAGATATATATGAGAGCTATAACCAAATCTGAACCGATTTCGATAAAATTTAAAACAGCTATTCCTGTGCTCCATCTAATTCCTGGTACCAAATATCACGGTTGTGGAGTGAATATTACGAATGTAAGGGACTCAAACACTAAATCGGATGAAACATATATGGTTTCTATATCTGAACCGATTTTCACTAAATTTTATATACTTGCTTCTAGCCTGAATTTGGTCCGACTATAGCTATATTTCGTACTAAAATTCAGTCCATTTGGATTTATATCGGCCATTTGGTGCACAATTAACCCGAAATCGGATGAAGATATATATGGGAGCTATATCCAAATCTGAACCGATTTTGATAAAATTACAAACAGCTATTTCTGGGCTGTATCTTATATCTGGTACCAAATATCATTCTTGTGGAGTGCATATTACGAATGTGAGAGGCTTAAACACCAAATCGGATAAAACATATATATGGGAGCTATAGCTGTTTCTGAACCGATTTTCTCCAAATTTGTTGTATTTGCTTTAAGGCTAATATCGGTCACATGTGCCAAAATTCGGGCCATTTGGGCTGACCCGAAATCGGATGAAGATATATATGGGAGCTATATCCAAATCTGAACCGATTTTAAAACAGCTATTTCTGTGCTCCATCTAATACCTGGTACCAAATATCACGGTTGTGGAGTGTATAGTAGGAATGTGAGGGACTTAAAGATCAAATCGGATGAAAGATATGTATGGGAGCTATAGCTATATCTGAACCGATTTTCTCCAAATTTGATATACTTGCTTCTAGGCCAAACTCGGTTGGGTGTGCCAAAATTCATTTTAAAATTCACATTTGGTGCACATTTAACCCGAAATCGGATGAAGATATATTGGAGCTATATCTAAATTTGATCCGATTCTCACCAATTTCAATAGGGTTCGTAATTGGGCCAAAAAAATATTGTTTGGAAAATTTCATCTCAATCCGATAATAAATGCGACCTGCATTTTGTTCACAAGAATATATGGACAGACGGACGGACAGACGGACTGACATGCATAAATCGACTCAGAAAGTGATTCTATGAAGGTTCTCAAAAGTAACTATGGGTCTACCTCGTTTCCTTCTCCATGTAACAAACAAATGCACAAAGACATAATACCCTTACCACTATGTGGTGTAGGGTATAAATATAACATTTGAGACCAAAACAAACTAGAAAATGTCAGTCGTTTTTTCCAAAGATATATTACTTTAGCATATGACCACTTGTTTATGTAAATTGGGGACGTAGCAAAATATTGGACCTACATATCCCAATATTACATAAGACCTAATATGACTACGGACAATTATTTCGCATTTCATGAAAGATATTATTGAAGGAGTTATTATTATTAACAAATAAAAACAAGTAAGTAACGACTATAGTCGTGCGGGGCCGACCATGTGATACCCTACAACACTACAATATGTTAGAAGACCCCTTATGTCCGGTTTTTATGGTCAATTTTACGGCTAAATATAATCCAATGGTCATCCAAAATGCCAGAATTCTTCCCTGCGCTTAACCACCTTCTCAGGCGTGTCGATTGGCATCAATTGTGTGATCTGGAATTTTGTTCTGTTCTTGGTTCATTTGAACCCCTAAATATTTTGCGACCATCTCCAAAAGAAAAGGCCCTTCTGTATCTCCAAATTTAGACTCATCTATATGATTTGCTTGTCTACGATATTTGGTTATATTCGTCAACGAAATCAGCATAAAAAGCCAGAAGTTCGTCTATTGTGTATTTCGGATATCGCCTGTAATTAATGTTGGCTTTTTTCACACAAAAGTAGTGGTCCATTCTGTCCACTGTCTTAAATTCTAACTTCATGCGAGATTTCGTGCCTTTGGGTTTCTATTTGTGACCTTTATAACGGCTGCAAAACCAGGAACATTTTGAGTAGCTAGTCTATTTCAACCCTTAAATATATTGCGGGCATCTTTGAAAACAATAGGCCTAGCCCTTCTGAGCCTAACCCTACTCTTTTCGTGTGGATCGGACGATAATTGAAATCTGTATATAATAGTCCTAACCTGTGTTGTAAGGTGAAAAAATATCACAAAATTTACACTTCAATATTTTAAGTCAAATTGAAAAAATCGCATGCGATAAAAAAAATATGAAAAAATAAAATAAATATCACAAAATACTACAAAATCTATATTATCATGATTATATGCATATTTTTATGCGATTTTTTAGATTTTATTCTTTTATACCAAGAAGGCATTCTGAATTGACAAAATTTGTCAAAATCGGTCCAGCCCTTCTTGAGATTCTAACTAACATCCCCTTCCTTTGTATATACACATTGTATATATTTCGCTATATATATCCGATATTTTTACTATCGGAAAATTTGACTTTTATTTATCACAAATGCTATGGTCTATTTCAACCACTAAATATAACCCGATGACCATCAAAATTGGAAGGCTTCTGCCCAGCATTCTCAATTTCGTGAAAATCGGGTCATAATTGCGACCTGTAGAGTGATTACAAATTAACATGGACAGACGGACAGATGGACGGACGGACATACATACGACTCAGCTCGGCGAGATAGGAAGGTCCATATATAATTTCCTATGTGGGATACCAATATTTCGAGGTGTTACATAATTTTTGGACCAATCAAACTTATAATACCCACAACACATAGTGTTGTAGGGTATAAAAAGAGTTAATTCCAGACAAATCCATTGAAAAATGTGACCAAATTATAAAAATAACGAACATCGACAGCTACAGTATTCCAATTCCATTTAAAACTGTGGCTACAATCAATAAAATACCGAATATCGGAAGGTACCGTTATATAAGGACTATACAATATCGTGGGTCGATATAGCCCATCTTCGAACTTGTCCTGCCTGCAGACAAAAAAAAAACTGATCTGTGCAAAATGTTATCATCCCACCGTAATTCGTTTTGACTCTAGCGTGATTCGTTTTAGAATATTATGCTGATTAGGAATATATATACTTCATAGGGTACAAAATAAATATTTTGGGGAGTTTTTAAGTTTTAATAGAGTCCAATCTCCCTCTTCGATTGTCAACTGTATTTTGTTTTCGGCGAGAAAAGAAAGAACAACCTTATCCTTTGGATGTAGTTTCAATTCTCGATCCGGCTTGAGGATCAATGTTATAGTGAGAAAAGAGTCCAATCTCCCTCTTCGATTGTCAACTCTATTCTCTATTTGGGATGAGAAAAGAGATTTCCAGTGCACAATGTGCCAGAGATTTCCAGTGCAAAATCTCCGGATACCAATCCGTTGGACTATTGTGTCTGGAGTATTTTGGAAACCAAGGTTGGCACTAAAAAATACCAAAGTGTCGATGACCTCAAGCAAGCGCTTTGCCGGTAATGGGCCAGAATACCGCAGAGCAACATTTGGGCAGCGTGTGACGGTTTCATTGGCCGTATGCCATAATTCGTGCTAAAGGTGACCAGTTCGAAAAAATCTAAACTTATTCTAAAATTTGATGCTATTTCCGACAATTTTTGCTTTCGTTCAATAAAATTTAAATAAAATGTAAAAAATGTGGCGTTTGATTTTGTTGCAGGTTTTTTACCTCACCTTGTATAGGAAAAGTTATAAAAAAAATTATATTTACATGAAAGCATCTATCGATATAAAATTCGTTAATTACATTTCGAATTTCAACTAATATTTCAAAATATTCTCTTTTTGTTTTTATCCTTAAATACTTTTTTAAATAAATGTATGACAAACACAATATCTAATTTAGGTTTTTTTTCCTTTATTTATTTCTTTTTTTCTAGCAGCAATCAGTCATTTGAAACCAATTCGGTCAAGCAAAGGATCATTTTCATTACATCGTTCCAATTTCAAAACATTTACTTCTTCTTCAACAAAGTGGTGTAGACTGCGGGAGCAGCTGGAGCAACAACGGCGGCAGCAGGAGCTGACACTACAGCTGGTGCCGAATAGGTTGTATAGGCAGCGGGAGCAGAGTACAACGAGCGGGTGTATACTGGAGCAGCAGCAGCGGCAGCATAAGTGGTGTAGGCAGGGTGGGCAGCAGCATAAGTAGTATAGGCTGGGGCAGCTGCAGCATAAGTGGTATAAGCTGGAGCAGCAGCGGCATATGTTGTATAAGCTGGAGCAGCAGCAGCATAAGTGGTCACTGGAGCCACAACATGAGCGCTAGCAGCAGCAACGAAGAGAGCCAAACAGATAATGAACTGAAAAGGCAATGATAACACAACAATTAGAATTAATCCTCATATGCACTTTTCAATGTCCTTTCTGAACAGGTACTTACTTTCATTTTGAGTTGTTTTTTGTTTTGTTGAAGTTGGTTCTTTGCAATGAAGCGTAATGAACTGATATCTGTTGACAAATTCATCATTGCTTTTATAGCAATTTTGTTTGTGAGTTATTATTTGAGTTTTTTTGTTGCTAATATTGATACGATTAAGGTACAGACATAACAATGCCTAGAGCAATGGACCAGTTTTTGACGTACATACAAGAATAAGCTTATGCCAATCAATCTGTCTCGCATGTTCCCTTAAATGGTAGAAGAAATTCTATCAAGATTTTTGGATTTTTTTTTGTGAGTGGGTTGGTTATTTTTAGACTCCGGATATTCCTGATTCCAATAAGTGGATTATAGTGATAATCAATTTTACCTGGTGAATACAAAAATTCCTGTGAAATTATTGTGCCAACTGTTTTGAACACTACAACAAATTGTGATCGCATGTTGTCATGTCATGTCATAATTTACTCTAGCTGTGACTTTCTTGGTGAGTATATGGTGAACCTATATAGGTGAGCTTTCGTGAACCTCTATAGGTGAGCTCTCGTGAACCTCTATAGGTAAGCTCTCATGAACCTCTATAGGTGAGCTCTCATGAACCTCTATAGGAGAGCTCTCGTGAACCTCTATAGGTGAGCTCTCATGAACCTCTATAGGTGAGCTCTCGTGAACCTCTATAGGTGAGCTCTCGTGAACCTCTATAGGTGAGCTCTCGTTACCTCTATAGGTGAGCTCTCGTTACCTCTATAGGTGAGCTCTCGTGACCTCTATAGGTGAGCTCTCGTGAACCTCTATAGGTGAGCTCTCATGAACCTCTATAGGTGAACTCTGTCGAACCTCTATAGGTGAACTCTGGCGAGCCTCTATAGGTAACCTTTATAACTGAACTCTGGTGGAACTCTATAGCTGAGCTCTGGTGGAACTCTATAGCTGAGCTCTGGTTAAATTCTACAACTGAGCTCTTGTTAAATTCTACAGGTGAGCTGGTGGCGAACCTCTATAGGTGAGCTCACGTGGTGAACCTCTATAGGTGAGCTCACGTGGTGAACCTCTATAGGTGAGCTCACGTGGTGAACCTCTATAGGTGAGCTCACGTGGTGAACCTCTATAGGTGAGCTCACGTGGTGAACCTCTATAGGTGAGCTCACGCGGTGAACCTCTATAGGTGAGCTCACGTGGTGATTTGTTTGTAACAGGGAGAAGGAAGCGAAATAGACCCATAGTTCCTTTTGAAGATCTTCATAGAATCACTATCTGAGTAGGTTTATGCATGTCAGTCCGTCCATCTGTCAATGTATTCCTGTGAACTAAATGCAGGTAGGATTTATTATCAGATTTAGATGAAATTAGCCAAACAATATTTGTTTGGCCCAAGGACGAAACCTATTGAAATTGGTGAAAGTCGGTTCAAATTTAAATATAACTTCCATATATATCTTCAACCGATTTCAGGTTAATTTGCACCAAATGGCCAAATGACCTGAATTTTGGCACATCCGACCGAATTCAGTCTAGAAGCAAGAACATCTAATTTGGTGAAATCGCGATTTATCTACCGCTCCCATGTATGATTTATCCGATTTGGGGTTTTAAGTCCCTCACATGCGTAATATGCCCTCCACAGCAATGATGTTTAGTACCAGATATCAGATACAGCTCAGAAAAAAAACCAAAAATTTTGTCAAGATCGGTTCAGATTGGGACATAACTCCCATATATATCCTTCTCCTTCTCAGGATTTTTGTGTATCAAATGGCTAACATCAGCTCAAATAGACTGCATTTTGGCACTTCCAACGGAATTCAGCCTAAAAGCAAGTGTTTCAAATTTTGATAGTAATCGGTTCAGATATAGCTATAGCTCCCATATATATTTTTCCTCCGATTTGGCGTTAAAGTCCCTCACATGCGTAATATGCACTCCACAACAAGGAAATTTGATACCAGAAATCAAATACAGCTCGGAAACACATCTGCCAAACTTTTTTCGAGATTGGTTCAGATTTTTATACATAGCTATGATATACATTTTCATCCGATTATACGGTTATTGCTCACCACATCAGCCCAAATTGGATTGATTTTTTCAAATTCAACCGAATTTTTCCATGAAACTGGGTCCGGTATATCTATCAAATTGGATAGTTTTTTTTTCAAATTCCACCGAATTTTACAATTTGGTGAAACTCGGTGTGGTATATGTGTTGCTCCAATAACTGTTTTTAATATATTTCTTATCGAAGTCACATCATGCACTATACAGCAATGTTATTTGGTACTAGAGGTACACAAGCCTATGCCAAATTTGTTGAAAATCGATTCAGAGTTGGATATAGTTCCAAGTCGTAATCACTCTAAAGCCATAATACGCATTCAAATAAGGTTCATAGTCGGTATTATCTACTTGACATAAATTCCCAATATAAACTTTTTTGTCATGGGATGTCTACTAAATAGGCATAGTGTTGTAGGGTATCATATAGTTGGCCCCGACCGACTATTGACCTTTCCTAACTGGGTTTAAAATTAAATTACGCAAGAATGTTTGGCTTCGTCATACAATGCTAAATAACAAATTTCAGAATTCCAGTTCCAACAATACAATATTTAGTACTTTTTACAATCTTTTTAAAACAAATTTCCCAAAGAAGTATTTCTTCTGATACCTCGAACCTATATCGACCTGCATGCGAACTTTCAAGATTCTAATTCTAAAAGTATAGAATGCAACACCAAAACGCAATTTTTAGTCCTTCTTGTACCATACAACACTATGTGTTGGGGGCATTATAGTTTGATTGGGCCAAAAATATATGTATATATGTCCGTCCGTTCGTCTGTCCATGTTAATTTGTAATCACGCTACAGGTCGCAATTATGGCCCGATTCGAAATTGAAAATGGAGTTGGGGATAGGGTCAGAATAATAGCCTATTGTTTTTGGAGATGATCGAAAATATTTAGGGGTTGAAATGGGCCAAAATCAGAAAAACAGAAAGTTATTATATACAGGTTGCAATTATCGTAGGATCTCTCATGAAATTTAGCATTGGGGTCCGAAGTAAAACCCATTGTTTTTGAAGATGTACATTTAGGGGTTCAAATGGACCAAGAAATTAAATTCTTTTTTATTTTGCAGTCGATGTACAGGTCACAATTGAAAACCGATCCATACGGAATTTTGCACGAGAAGAGGCAGAATTTTGGATGACCAGCGTAAATATTCGGCAAATGCCCCCTATCAAAAAGCACTAATGAAGAACTTCAAAAAGCAGTCGCTCAATTTTTAGAATACACCACGCTTGCTCTTTGTTTTGGTATTTTCTTTGCCCAGATGAAAGGACTGAACTTCCGATCTTCTAATTGGTAGTCACGCATACCATGTGCTCCGTTACCATTACGAACAGTACTCATCGTTAACGACAAGTTGACAAACTCTTCGTATTTTCTCATTCGAATAAGCGACCTTTAATTTCGAAGGTAGACGTGTACAACCTGGTAATTTTGCCTTGTAAATTTTATATGAATAACTCCGTATTCGCTTACTGCTACTTCAATTTTCTCAAATAGTATTTTTGGGAAAAAATAGGTTATAGAAAAAATTCAAATTATTTTTTCAACATTTTTATTTTACTTTTCAATATTTTGGTCACATAGGCCAAATTTGAGGGATCACTTTCATTTAATTGTTCCAATTTCAAAGCATCTACTTCTTCTTCAACAAAGTGGTGTAGACAGCGGGGGCAGCTGGTGCCACCACGGCGGCAGCAGGAGCTGACACTACAGCTGGTGCCGAATAGGTGGTATAGGCAGCGGGAGCAGAGTACACTGAACGTGTGTACACTGGAGCAGCGGCAGCATAGGTGGTGTAGGCAGGGTGGGCAGCAGCATAAGTAGTAGTAGTATAGGCTGGAGCAGCTGCAGAATAAGTGGTATAAGCTGGGGCTGCAGCAGCATAAGTGGTGTAAGCTGGAGCAGCAGCAGCATAAGTGGTCACTGGAGCCACGACATGAGCGCTAGCAGCAGCTACGAAGAGAGCCAAGCAGATAAGGAACTGTAAAGAGCATTTTTATTTCTATTAGTAATAATCCTGGTTAGTGTTGGCTGCAGATCCTTGAGCAGGTACTTACTTTCATTTTGAGTAGGGTTTTTTTTTTTGAAGTTGGTTCTTTGCAATGGAGCGTAATGAACTGATGTCTATTGTCATAATTGTGGAAGCTTTTATACACAGCAGTTGATATTTTCCGTTTGAGTCTATGAATTAATGTTCTTAAGAATGATATGAACTGACGTCAAATGAATAAAACAAGTTCTTCTGTTATACATGAATTGTGTTAGATCTTTCATTGTTATCAGTTTTCTTCTTTCCGTTGTTAATTCATAAAATGAGGCTTACCAGCAAATAAGGAATAAAAAGATTCATAATTTTTACAAAAATAAACATAAACTAGGAAAAAGAATGGCAATTTTAGATCCCAAAAAGAGTATGAAAAGTATGTTGATGTATGTAGGTATACATTTGGAAATTGTTACACTATACTTTTATGAACTCTTATCTCCAGATACCAAAAAATTATATATAATTTATTAGAGATATTTTCGCTGAGCTATCGGCGAAAACGAAGAAGTATCCAAGACTTTCCACGGAAAAGAATGATTTTTGTAGACAAACTAAAAACGGGTTAGAGTACATTTTGAAACCAATTGCCAATTTTCTATACAGGGTGAGATGAAAAAACTGCAACCAACTTCATACTGGTGTCATTTCCAAGCCACTCTCCCGACAGCGGTTAAAATGACAGCTCATTATATTGTTTGCAAGCGTACAAAAGCATTTTGGTAAGAATTTTCAAGAAAAAAGTTCATGATGGATATTGTGATTTCTTCATACTTGGCTGAAAAACCACAAGTGGCTATCATTAGAGCATTCCAGCATTTAAATGTGAGTAAATCTTTTGTGTCTCGTACCATCACTCGTTACCGTGATACTGGTAGCGTAGCCCAACGTCAAGGAAGTGGACTGAAGAAAACATCAACATCAGCAGAAAAGGTTCGAAAAGTAAAGAAGCGACTTGATCGAAACCCGCATCGTAGTGGACGAAAAAGTGGCTCGTGAGCTGAACATATCGCAATATTCCATTCGGCAAATATTGAAAAATGAACTCGGGGTGAAGCCATTGAAATTCCAAAAATTGCAATAACTTACACCGCAACAGAAAGAAAATAGATTCAAAAGAGCTAAAGAGTTGCTTCACTTGGCCGAAAGTGGTGAACAGCCGAATTTGGTTTTCTCCGATGAGAAAACATTCGTTGTCCTGCAGTTTGTAAACAAACAAAATGATCGTGTTTACAAAAAAATACCAATGTGTCAATCACCTCTAGCAAGCGGTTCCCCTTGAAAGGGCCAAAATACAGCAGAGCAACATTCGGGCGTTTGACGGTTTCATTGGCCGTTTAAAGGCCATAATTCGTGCCAAAGGTGAACAATTCGAAATCTAAACTTATTCTAAAATTTGATGCTAATTCCGACATTTTGTGCTTTCATTCGATAAGATTTAAAAAAAATTAAAAATTATGGCGTTTTTTTATCTCACCCTGTATTTTTAATTTGCACATTTTTTATTGTAACCATACTAGAATATTTAAAGTGTGTTGGCAGTTTTAGTCACAATTTTAAACCGAATTCACTGTAAACATGCTTTCAGAACAGTACATATATGTCCAAGTTTTGGTACGTGTCCCATATAAATGTACCTCTCTATATTCGGTATTTCGATTTAGATAATTTTAGCCACATAATTTAACCGAATTATCTGAAAATTTATATTTGGAATTTCGCCTCTTTCTGAATATAATCTGCTATGTAGCTCCTAGGTTTGGTATAGGCCCCATATAATCGGAATGTTTCCAAATTGAAGTTCAAAATGAGAACTACCAACTGAGCACTAACTGCCCACAGCAAATAAACATTTTTATGGGGTAGTGATGATAGCTTTTGAATGCGTATTATGACTTTAAGGCAGACATAATTTAAAGCCGAACGGAACTTATATATGGAAGTAAGTACTTCTCTTAACCGAATTCTACTAAATTTGACAGAATGAGACGATATTCATCAAAATACATCTTATCTTATGCACAATAAACGTGAAATCGAATAAATATTTATATGGGAGCTATTTCCAAATCTAAACGAATCTCTATAGAATAGAGAGGCATTTCTATGGTGTATCTGATTGCTTGCACCAAATATCGTTGTTGTAGAGAGCATTTTACGGGCTAAATTTTGACCGATTACCTCAAACTTCGTCCTTGGACCAAACAAATGATGTGTGCAAAATAGCATATAAATGAGACATCTACTTTGTTTACAAAAATACATGGACAGACGGACGGACAGCCGAACGAATATGCATAAATCTACTCACACTGTGATTCTGTGCAGATCACCAAAGGGAAATATGCATCTATATCGCTTCCTTAGTAAATTTTTGCTCAATTTCGATCGCTTCGGATTCCGCTCTAATTTTTAAAACAGGAGTAACCCCCATTGAACCAAAGAGTGTTGAGTTAATGTGGTATAAAAATTTCATTCTAGAGTAAAATAAGGCAAATTTGTGTTTTTTCATATTTTAAAATTTTATCGCTTTCAAAACAGGTTTTCAAAGATGATGGATAATTTTACAACTCCCAATTATTATTTCGAGTCATTACAATTTTTTGCCATAAGCGATATAGGAATATACTCTAATTATCACATTGTTGCGCTACTTATTACCAAATATCAGGGTTCAAAGAATGTTTTTTTTTGTCGTTTTGACAGCAGACGCGAGACGCTAACCATACAAAATTTCGTGGTAATTTTATGGAAATTCAAAACAATATTCGAAAATTTATTTTCCGTATTTATTTTGCATCAATTAAAAGGTCAGAAGTTTCCTTTTCATGTATTTGTGAGGCCACTTTCAGAACTAAAATTTCCGCGGTGGAATGAAAATTTTGGTATTTTTCAGACAAAAGTATTGTTGTCATTTCACCGTCTAAATATTAGCCGATAATCATCCTAAACTCTAACCTCATGCTAAATTTCTGCTTTTCATCGGTTTATAATTGTGACCTGTAAGGAGACTAAAAATCAGACAAAAATTATGTGTTTAGTCTTTTTCAACCCTTAAATATTTTGTAAATATTTCCAGAAGCTATAGGCCTCTTTGTGGTCCCAGCCTTGTTCGTAAAGATCAGGGCATATTTATAACCTACAGAGTGATTTAAATTTTAAGAGGATAGAGAAATTACAGGACCGGTACATAATGCTAGATCGACTCAGCTTTCCGAGTTCTATACTACATTATTGGTATAAAACCAATATTTTGAGGTGTTACAAGCTTTTTGGCCCATTAAACCTATAATACCCTCAACATATAATGTAGTTGGATATAAAAAAACAAGTAAATTATATGCAGTGCTTCATTTTTTGTTTATTCCGGAAATCAAAATCGTTAGACCAAATACACTAGCGATCACTTTCATTTTTTATACGCATTCCAATCTCAAAGAATTTACTTCTTTTTCAACAAAGTGGTGTAGACAGCGGGAGCAGCTGGGGCAACGACGGCAGCGGCAGCAGGAGCTGCAACTACGGCTGGGGCAGAATAGGTAGTATAGGCAGCAGGAGCAGAGTATAATGAACGTGTGTAAACTGGAGCAGCTGCAGCATAGGTGGTATAGGCTGGGGCGGCAGCATATGTAGTGTATGCTGGAGCGGCAGCAGCATATGTGGTATAAGCTGGAGCAGCAGCAGCATAGGTGGTTACGGGAGCAACGACATGAGCGCTAGCTGCAGCAATGAAAAGGGCCAAGCAGATAAGGAACTGTGGGAAAATAATAAATAATATTGTTAATCCTTGTTGTCCTATTATTTGCATGAGAATCCTAGTATGGTCCTTGAGCGGGGTACTTACTTTCATTATGAGTAGTGTTTTGTTGAAGATTGCTGTTCTTTGCAATGGAGCGTAATGAACTGATGTCTATTGCCCGGAATGTGGTAGCTTTTGTACCAAAAAAAAAAAAATAATATTTTATTTGTAAGGGAATTAAGAACTTTTGTTGTCGTGCAATATTTGCGGCTGTGCGAGTATGTCGATAATACGCTTATTGACATTACAATGCCTACATAGTTTCATATTTAAGATATAAACAAGTTCTTGATATAGTTACGTATGTGCGTGTACATGAATAAGCTGAAATCAATCAAGCTTATTTTTCTCAGTTTCTTACCAAAGTCGAACATAATAGCAAGAACGCTAGGAATGACAGAGAAATTTCTTAAAGAAAAGTAAGTAAAAAAACTGTAAGTTCGACCGGACCGAACTTTGAATACCCTCTACCATTTGGTACAAATTTGGCAATTATCACAAAAATAGAATCCGTTAAAAATGCTGTTAAAATCTTATAAATACCGAAAGTAGGTGTATATTAGGGTCTATACGACGACGTGGATCTGCATAGGCAACTTTTGTCGTAAGCCATTACAACATTCAAATGCGAAACTTGAAAAAAATCTGTTTATAATGTAATCAAAATACCGAATATAGGGAGGTACCATGAGGGTTATAAAACGTGGACCTGCACAGACAATTTTCTGCCATAGGCTGTAGTATCCATTACGAACTTCAAATACAAATTTTGAAACAATTCCGGTAAATAATGTCGCTAAAATCATCAAAATACCGAATATCGGGGGTACCATTATATTGGGGCTATACGGAGACGTGGACCTACAGGGCCTATTTTCTGTCTTATGCTGAAGTATCCATTACGAACTTCAAATACCCAATTTAAAACAATTCCGGTAAATAATGTCGCTGAAATCATCAAAATACCGAATATCTGGAGATAACGTTATATGGGGGCTATACGAAAACGTGGACCTGCACAGACAATTTTCTGTCTTAGGCTGAAGTATCCATCACGAACTTCAAATACCGAATTTGAAACAATTCCGGTAAATAATGTCGCTAAAATCATCAAAATACCGAATATCAGGGATACCGTTACATAGGACCTGCACAGACAATTTTCTGTAATGGGCTGTAGTATTCATTACGAACCTCAAATACCAAATTTGAAATAGTTCCGGTAAATAATGTCGCTAAAATCATCAAAATACCGCATA